GCATAACCATAAAAACCAGTATCATTAATCAGGATTAAGAGAGAAAATGAAATCATTACCTTTTCGTCAATGAATTTCGCCCAAAATCGAGCAACAGCCTTCTCATAAGGATCCTGTGGCAAAATCGGAACTCCTTTCCAGACATCATCAATGTACTCAACGATCACAAGAGATTCCGAGATCGACTTTCCGTTGTGCACCAGCACCGGTACCTTCTTATGAACCGGATTGTACTTGAGAAGGTCGGCACTCTTGTTACTCAGATCYTCYTCGAAGTTYTCATACTTGATTCCCTTGAGATTCAAAGCAATTTTGACTCTGCAGACAAATGGACTTCCTCCAACAGCATACAACTTCACTTCGTCCGCCATATTTTTCGATTCAATCGCAGCAACACCTAGTTTCCGGCTGAGTTTTGGGATATGGTAGTGTCCTATGAATATACCGGTGAAGGTTTGGTGCTTATATAGTGCCGGGAGTTGTTGTTGAGCGTTTAAATGGCATAATAAGCAATTATAGACAATCAAGCTATTATATGTTGTACCATATGTAGCACAAGTTGTACGTTACATTGGAATCAACAACAATAAAATACTAGTGTGAATGCTTCGTCGGATAACGACGAAAACTAATTAATTTATTTACTAGGAAAGTGGGGTCACATCCACAGAAATCTAGAAAAATAAAAAAACACGAATCTTCTAATAATCATTTATATATATATATATATATATAAAAGGGGTAGTAATATAATAAATCATATATAATCAATGGATTCGTGGTAAAATCCATATAAACTCTTGAACCATTATCGTAAAATCTTGAATCTTTATCGCCCTATAAAAAAATTTCAAATGAATATTCAAATCTGTGGACCGAGGAGAAAGGGGGCTCAGCGGGAAGAGGTAATTCATGATTTCTAAATCGAATAGATTTTTGATTCGATTTAGAAAATTACTTCTATAGTTATTTGTTTATACTATGGGGCCGTACACGTCATGGGCATCTTGCTTTTCTATGTTCCGGTCTGTTAGGATGCTTCAGCTGCATACATCACTGGCGTATTGTGCCGGTTCTTTTGAGTAATATATCTGGAAATGCCCGTTGATGCTGGTCCAATTGCCGTTTTTGTTTCTGTATTCCTGATTCTTTTGGTTACTCACTGGAAACGCGGGTCTAAAGTTTAGATAACGAGAGTCGTGTGAGATGAAAGTCTCATGCACGGTTTTGAATGAGAGAAAGAAGTGAGGAATCCTCTTTTCGACTCTAACTCTCCCACTCCAGTCGTTAWTTGATTGACCTCCTCCTTTCTTTAATATCCAGGAGGTCAAATTCAGATTACTGTTCAAGTTAGTGCTATTGGTTCTAAGCCATCTCTGGCGATTAATCAACAATTCGAAGTGCTTTTCTTGGCTCTATATCCAACGAATATATATATATATATATATATATATATATATATATATATATAGTTTGTTTCAAATACAACCTATCGCATTTATACAACCAATGCAACTCAATAAATTGAGATATTTATGGAAATGATGAGAGCTCATTTATTATGATTTGAATATTTATGGAAGATAAATATGGTTCATTAATTATAATCAATATTTTATATTAGGAAACAATTAAAAATTCTATGAAATCACATATTAATCAAATGAAATGAACGGTTGAGATTGGGTTGTATTGATTGCACAAATGTCAAGGGTTGTATAATATATATATATATATATATATATAGGGGCTTAATCAAATGAGAACTAATTAGTTTGTGGTAACTGTGAGAACCAATATTAACCACAAATCAATAGATAAAT